ATCTTCCATAACTTATGGCATGAGCTAGAAAACCCAAGGGACTGTGTTGCTGTAGACATCCGGGTCCCCATGAGGAAACGGGCTCCACAAGTCCTCAACATGCCCAGCATGCACTGCTCCTGTGGGCTGTCTCCCAGCCTGGCTTCTGGTTTCCCCTGGGCTAGCTGGGTCCTGGTTCACCAAGCTGTCTTGTGCCTGGGCTGCATGCTGATGTCCTCCCCCAATCCTGGCAGCCGGCCTGACCAGCTTCTGGGGTGCCCCCTGGTTGATCTGCCATCCAAGATAGAGACAGGAGCACCCTTGCTAGGGTATCAGCCCGCAACTGCTGTAACTTCATCTTTTGCTTGAAGAAGTAACCTACGCACGGAACCCCTGCGCCTGCATGGTCCTTGTGCCTGAGAGAGGAAGCTGAGTGGTAGGAGGAGCACAGTCTGAGGACGGGGGACGTCAGGACTGTCAGCCAGCCTGTGGAGACGGTGTTAAGAGCTCTGGCATCATCACCGGAAGCTCTCCTACTCCCAGCCTCCGAGCCTCCTACCCGGACTCTCAGTGTAGGTTGCATCCTGGGTGTTTTGGCTTTGGTTCTTGATTGGTTTCATGTTTGCAGTGCTGGGTCTAAACCCACACATGCTAGAAAGTGCTCTCCCTCCAAGCCTCACCCCAGTCCCTTCTATTTTATTTCAAGATAGTCTTGCTAAGCTGCCCAACCTTGAACTTGTGATCTTCCTGCCCCAGTATCATGTTTTTAATTATATTTTGTTTCCTCTTTTGTGAGTGGGCAATGGATTCTTATGGTCTGAAGTTTAAAAGGTACCCAAATTTCTAGGAGGGGTGCCTCTCCTTTTCTGAACCTACCATAGATATTTTCCAGCTTGTGACCAGGGTAGATATTCCCCCCCTGCTGTGTCATCCTGCCTGTGGTCCGAACCTGAGTCCTGTCCTGTGCACCCCAGAAAAACCGTGACACACTCAGCCAGCGCCGATTAAATCAGCTCCACGTAGATGCCATGAGCTGACGCAGGCCTGTCCTTGTTTCTATTGCCCATGTACATTTTCCAGGAAGCCTTGATCTTTGTGAGGATCTTGGGGAGGGGCGATGGTGCAGCCCCTCCCTTTATAAAGAACAGTCGTCCAGAGATGGAAATGATTCATTCCGACTCCGTTGCTGCCCCGTTTCGGCTCCTCTGGCTTCAGAGCCGAGAGCCTCTGAGGAAAGAGACTTGGCTGGGTTTTCTCGGTTGCAACCCCGTCTCCCCAGATGTGCTAGGACGGAGCTGTGCTTTTAGTGCAATGCCAGCGTGCGGCTCACAGAGGGCGGAACATACGCCGCATCATCTGTACCCTTTCCTCCAGCCACTCCAGCTGCACAGCAGTGATAATTCAACTCGCTCTGAGGTTCTTAAGTGCTCCCAGGTATTAAAGACCGAGCATTAAATAGCACAAAAATACATTTAAAGATACCAACTTGCAAAGTGCTAAAATGACAGCCTGTCTCCGCCAGAGCGGATGATGAGGAATGGGCGAGTGGGCCCCTGGAGGGCTGTCTGCCAAGCTGGCCAGTCTCGGGGCTGGCTATGATCTATGTGCAATTGCCAAATTATACCAGAGAAAAGATCTCAAACAGACAGGGTCTCAGAGCGCTCGTGATGAATGGTTCTTAACAAATTGAAGCTGATGACTTCTCTCCCTCGCATTCGACAGAAGCGATGTCTGCTTTTAAGTCTGGTTCGTTCCTGGAAACCCCCTCGTACAGGGAAATCCTATTCTGATGCTAGGGCTAAGAGTCTCTCTCATCAAGCCCGGCTGGTCTCCAGGGAGAAGCGAATGGATGCAAGTGACGGGAAGGAGGAGTGGGTATTTTTACAGGACGCACAAAAACTAGAGGCTGCTTGAAAGGGTGCTCTCCAAAGAAGAAGCAGTCAGTGTAACAACTAAGGGGGGCAGTTATTGAATTAGGTAAGGAGCCACCGGGGTTTCTATGTGGGCACTGGGATCACAGCATAGAGACCAAGCCCCCTAGGAAGTTTGGAAAATGCTCCCTAGCACAGCTTGCTGTGCCGACCGGAAGCTCTCCCCAGCCCTGGTCACCGGGACCCTCTGTCTAATAGAAAGAACTACTGCTGCACATGTCCCGGCAACACTGCCATTTCCCTCACAGAAAGGTGACCTTGCAGCAGTTTCAGGATCGAGGACAGAAAGAACAACAGGAAAGCCCCGGGGACTCCCGAGGAGGAAGAACCCATAGTCACCAAACACCGCCAAGCCTGGGGTCAAAACAAAGGACAAGCCTCCTCTCTGAGCCTGAAGGACCAGGAACACCTGCGAGCAGAAACCAGCAGCCTCCTCACTCCCTGGGAAGTTAGCAGGGCCGAGCTAGCAGGGCCGAGTCGTTCGGTCTGCATTCCATGTCTACGTGCTGGCCAGCTGACTGATTGTCTGATTTACTCCTGTGTTTGTTTACTTTGCAGTACTGGGGTTTGAGCTCAGGCCCTTCACACTGAGCTAACTCCCCACCTTTTCTTTATTTTCTATTTTGAGATGGAGTCTCACTAAGTCTCTTAAGTCAGTAAGTCACCCAGGCTGTGCTCCAACTAGCTATCCTCCTGCCTCAGCCTCACCTACGATTCTAAATATCAAATTTAAACATTTAAGGGTTTGATTTTTGAGCTGAGGAGTAGCTGCCGCTCCAAGGAGAACACAGGAAGACAAAGCAGCGACCTCTTCGCCTGGCGTGGGGCCTGCGGGGAAGGAGTCCTTCCCTGGCCCCAGACCTGGCTGGGAGGGTTAGGTGGGTGTGTTCGGAGTCAGGTCTGGGGCTTCCTCGGTGAGCTGACAAAGGGAAAGTACGAGCGAGCCCTGCTCGGAGGTGCTTCCTGACACCCTCTCCCACAGAGTGAGCTAGCAGACACATCACTCCCTGCCAACCTGGCAGGCACCCGGCCCTGTGTGAGGCGTGGGGAGCTCTGCACGGCTGAGCAGTACACAGGGGCTGCCTGTCTTCTCTGCAAGGACAGCGTGTGTCCACAGAGATCTTGGAGACCCCATTCATCACCTGTCCCAGGACAGCTGGATGCTAAGGCGGAGTCTACTCAAGGCGGAATCAGCAGCCATCCCCTGCTTTCCACCCTGGTAATACATCCCAGTTTACTCAGAGTGGCCACAGCTGTGTTGTCAAGTGGCCAACGAGAGGCAAGCAAAAATCCTCAGGTGGGCTTCAAGGGGGCTAACGAGTGGGTAGGGTGCACATCAATCCTTATCCTTCCAGCTCATCCTCTCTGGAGGGTTCTGAAAGGCTGGAACGCAAGCAGCCATGTTGGTCTGTGAGGTTAAGGTGGCGCTCTCAAGATGGTTGATGATTCCGTGCAGCCTGTCTGCTGATGCCTTCTTAGCTGAGCAGATAAGCCCCAAACTGGGCAAAGTCACTGTGGCTAGGGTCCTGTTCCATGAGCCAGAGCTCCTAACTGTTACAGGCAGACGGGAGAAGGAACGCGCTCTCAGCCATGGCAATGCATAGACATTGGCTGGTGGTGGGTAGGGGCAGGATGCTCAACCAGAGTCCTCAGGGTACCGCACTTGGCCGCCTACAAAAGGTGATGGAGAGTATGGTGACTGTGTCAACTCACAGGGCAACCTCGTTACAGTGAAAGACACACTGCCAGTGGGGGGACGAGCGCGTTTGAAGTGAGGGAGGATTTTGTGGGGGATTCGTGACAATTCGATCACATCATGTTGATCAACCGCTTATGGCAACCTCTGTCCAATAAACACGTCACTGTGCGTCCTCATCCACTTCACTCACCAGATCCGGCACCTGCGGGTCTCTGGCTCCTCCCCAAAGTCAAAATGACCATGAAAGGGAAATGTTCTGATCCAACTGAGGATATTGAGGCAGCCAGGACGGCGAAACTAAGGACCCTCAGGAAAGAGGACTGCAGAACTGCTGCAGAAAGGGGAGAGATAAAGGGACCAGTGTGTTGTGGTCTCCTTCAGTCCCCTGCTGTCCTCTGTTGAGAAGACAGAGTCCCTGTGCACTGCCCACTGGGAGGACTTGCCTGATCCAACTCCTTCAGTGGTTCCATTCTGAGCATTAAAACCACAGTTTTAAATTAGTCATGGTGGTACATGCCTGTAATCCCAGCACTCTGGGAGGCTGAGGCAGGAGGAACTGCAAGTTCAAGCCAGCCGGGGCAATTTAGCAAGACCTGTCTCAAAATAAAAAAAAAAACAGAAAGAGGTGGGTGTGAGGGGGCTGGGATCAACCCCTAGCACCACAAAACAAAACACAAGCACAAACAGGCTCAAGACGGGAGAGAAATTCACCATCAATTAGGGATCACGCCACCAAAATCAGAGGCTCTGCAGCAGAAGATTTGGGGTTCTGGGGAGGAGTGGCTTCCTGGGCAGCTGCTTCCTTTACAACGACTGGCGTTGGGCCCGTAGGGGGCACTAAGGAACCACGGGATCGGGTCTCCTCCAAGCTGAGGCCGGGGCTCGGAACCCCAGCCACTCTGCCAAGGAGGAGGAAGGAAGGAGGGACCTGGGGCTGCAGCCAAACCTGGGCTCTAGGGTGAGAATGAAATCCTCTCACATCCTCATTCTGCTTAAATATCCAAGATGCAGAGCCTCTGACTAGAAGGTTGTTCCGAAGATAATGTCCCCGACTCCCTGTCTCCAGCATCATGAGACCTGGACATTTCTGTCCCTGGATTTAAACTAGAAAGGGCCTTGGAGACCAGCCAGTCTGCACGGCAGACCAGAGGCCTGAGAAGGAAAGACGGGTCCCAAGCAATGTGGACCGTGAGTGGCACCTCGCAGCTGCCAGTCTGGGGCTCCTTCCCCCACGCCCGCGCGCAGCCTTGGCCGCGGTTGTTTTCTTTTCCGGCCCTGGGGGGACGGTGGCAGGGCTGGGGGTCTGCTGTGAACTGGAATCTGTTCAATTTCACCTCCCATTGCTCCTGCCAGTTCGCCAGCTCAGGCTGACGGAGGCAATTAGAACCAGAGTCCCACAAGGCATTCCAGGGAGATCTCTTAAAATTCCACAGCAGCCGGAGACTTGCCTCTTCCTGCAGGGATCATCTGGTGTGTAAATACCCAGCGGTGTAAGACACAGGGTTGGGGCAGCGTGAGTGTGTGTGCACACACACATACCCATGCACACCCATGCGTGTGCACACACACACAATACACATGCACACACGTGCATGCACAAATGCATTTAATACACATTTATCCACAGACAAAAAAACAGAAGTATTCAACAGCAGTTCCTCCCCTTCCTGCCTCCCAAGTGGAAAAATTGAGAATGAGCGGACTGCCCCTGGGAAAACCTAATTAATTGTGTGCTTCCAGGGATGAGCAGTTCATCTGCACTGGGCTGTCGGTGGGGGGATGGGGATTGGGATGGGGTGGGGGATGGGGAGTGGGATGGGGTGGGGGATGGGTGGTGAAGGGGACGGGACCGTCCTGTTTCCTTCTACCCCTACCCCACGCAGAAAGCCGCCCCTCACCCTCAGCCCTGGGTCCCTGGGGCAAGTCAGTGGGTGACGCGGGCCAGCCTGGCTGATACACAGTCACAGCCTCCCGCTGAAAGGTGTTGCCTCAGTTTCTCTGTGGGGATGCCGAGGCTGCAAAAGACAAAATGGCAGAGCAAGGAACTGCAACCCAGGACGGCTGACTCGGGCTCGCTGACCTGCTTTATGACTGCCCAATGGCAGGAACGAAGGGAGGCATCGAGCCTGTGGGAAGCCACTCTGTTTCTCGGGGCTTTCGTTTCACGTTTGTCACCAGGAAACCTGGCTGTGGGCGGTAGTGCGCTACTGTGTAAGGAGACCCGGACCTTTCATTAGAAGTCACTAGGAAGCAGCCAAAGGCACTGAGAAGGCGGGTGGGAGAACTGGGCACTTTGCTTCATCAGGGGAGCACCCTCCCGTTGGGACCCCCAGGAGGCTTGAAGGGGACCGAGGGGACAGCCCTGTGACATCCTCCTACCCGGGGTGGAGACCACATCTTCTCTCTCCCAGACTAGGATTGTCCTCAAGGCCGTCATGCAGCCACTCCCAGCTCCTCCCTTTGAGGTTGGATGAGAACGGCGGAACAATCTTACAAACTAAATCAGCTCGTGGTTACCCTGACCTTCACAAGACGCACCTAGTATTTCTGGTTCCCTGTAGAAAACATGTCCAGGGCTTTGTGGTTAGTTGGCGATAAATCGCCCATCCATGTATTGTGTGATTTCAGGTTACCAACAGTCTCCATCCCTGGGTTTCTCTTCCTCCAGAGTTCCTCGCTTGCTGACACAGCCGTGATCTCTGTCTCAGTTCCAGAGGCAGCGGGGTGATTTTTGCCAGACGGACCCTTCGGAAGAAGAATGAATTTACCAGGCCATTTGGCCGGGGAGTTTTGCGTTTGCATGAAGGAGCGCGTGTTTATTTCCTCATCCAAAACCAAGTGCTTCCTGGTGCTGGGAATGGTGCAAGGTGCTGGGGAAAGGGTGAGGGAAGACCACGTAAGGGTCCTGGGGATTCATTTTGTAAAAGAAGATAGGACTGCTCACAGTTAATGCTAATATCAAAACCACACTGTACAAGGGAAGGAGAAAGGGAGAGAAAATCACTTCTGTTGCATGTGAGTGGAGGGGCAGTCGGGGGAGAGCTCCTGGAGGTGATGGCGTTGCAATGGTGCCTAGAAGGGGGTGGGTATCTGATGTGGGGGAAGGTGGGCATTGGGAGGGGGCAGGCAGGAAGCAGAGTGATAGCTTCCATGAGAGTGTGCTTTGGGGGTCAGACCTTGGCTGGTCACAGATATTGGGTGGAGGAGTCGGGTCATCAGACACAGGGAAGCATTCCACTTTCCAAGTGGACAAATCCGGGAGCACAGCTATGCGTCACAAAAATGAGTGGCAGCAGGATGTGCAGGGCAGGCGTGCAAGTAACCCTGAAACACGCGCCCCGCTCACCCACCCGGCGTTTCTCCTGTGGTCACCCACATCTCTCCTCACAGCGTGAATCCGTGCACCCCAAGACAGACCTGTATCCAAAAGGACACGGACCCATGGTGACCCCTGGCGGATTTCAAACCACGTTCTGTCTGAAAGACGTTCTGTTTTTTCTTCCTATAAAACCAGAGAAGCTGGTAGAAACCTCCAGGATCACCAGTTGCAACATGCAGCTGGTGCTTACATTCCCTCCACTGCTCTTCTGCAAAGTGGTTAAATATGCTTCAGTATGCTTAGCTATCTCCAAAGAGTGAGAACCCAGGTCCTCACGAGGCAGTGCACGACAAAGCCACCACAGACCCCAGCAGGACAGAACAGAGCCTGCACCATCCTCTGTCCTGCCCACCCTCACTGGCCAGCACCATAGCTAGATCTCTACCTGCGTGTGTTGAATGGCATGAAAAGGAAGGTGTCTGTGAGTTTCTCAGAAGACCCTAGGACTAAGAATCTGGTAAGAAGGACTTCAGTTTGAACAGGACTTTACAGTTTGCTTTATTCTTCTAAGGTCGCTGCTGTGGGCCGCTCTGTGGCATTTGCATTCTATGTGCGGGGAAGCAGAACCCTTGGGAATGCTCGCTCCAGCCTGAACACTGAGCTAAGGTCAAACAGGATCCTGCTCCCATTTCTTCTGACTCCAAATCCTGGCCTTCTAGGCAAACCAGGTAAGGAGGGAGAAGTTCTGTCCCTGAACACCAGCCTTGGGCTATTGTTTACCTTCACTGAAAACTGCATCATGGGTAAAAAATAAGGCTTAAAGGTTTACTCTTCCTGCTTCTCCACCAAGCCGGTCGCCATGGCACTGGTCTCGGGAAGACAACGTGCATCGGCGACACCACAGTGCTCTTGCCAGAACTTTATCTATTGAGTAACAGAGCCAGGGCCAGGGGAGCAGGGAAGCCTCAAGCCCTGGCGGTGACAGTAGGATTGATACTGAGAGGACTGTCCTGCAGGTCCTTTGCCAGTCCAGCCTATGAGAGGGGAAGAATGCTGGCCAACACCTCCATCACCGATCGGCAAGAAAAGCAGTTGTTATTTGCCATCCTTTGAGTTCTCCATTGTAACCTTCTGTCCAGGGGTTTGGGACTCTCCATTTCTTTATTTGTAAAATGGGCATAGGTGGGGGAAAGCGTGAACGGATCAAGCCAATTGGTCCCAGAAGATGTTCCAGGCTCTAAAAAGAGAAAACACATATTGGACTCATTTGTGGTTCCAAAATTGGCAGGAGTGACTCGGGTGTACGGCAAAGGGGTGGATTCCTCTATGTAAAACTTCCAGAGGTAGAGAACAGCGGGAGGCAGACCTGGGGCAGCTGGGCTCCTCACCCAACACCATGGGTATCCCTGGGAATTGGCCGTCCCAAGCTGAGATGGAAGTAACCCCTGGCCAAGCTGAGGCGCTAAGAACAGCCTCTTAAGGCCACTTGCTTCAGGAAGACAGTGAGGAGCTGAGGTTCCAGAGCTGACTTGGGAAAGAGAGTCAGTGCCCCGGCTGTGAGAGGGCTCAGCCAGTGAGGGCGTGGCCTTGAGAATGGGAGAGGAGAGGAGGAAGGGGGCTCATTTATCAGCGCAAAACTCGTCAAAGCTGTCAGGGTCTCCCATGGAGTTATTCTCTTAACTAACGGGAACCTGGCTTGGAGATGTGACTTGCTCCGGGGCACACCATTAACTGATGACAAAGGTTCTTTGGTTTTTTTTAAGGCAAGGTCTCAGTACGCAGTCCATTTTGACTTGGAATTCCATTTGTGGCACAGGCTGGCCTCTAACTTATGATCCTCCTGCCTCAGTCTCTTCCATGCTGAGATGACAGACATGTGCCACCATTCCTGGCTGATGAAGTTGATGTTTAGCATGGACCCTTTGCATGATAAAGGAGATGTTCAGATGGTAGCCAGGAAAGGAGCACAAGGAACTAAAAAAGTGCCCTTAGGGGAGCACAGGGGATTGGATTTCTCCAGCGAGGAAGAGTGATGTATGCCAGGCTGACAGACACAGGAGATGTCCTTCTGCAGAGCCCAGGAGCTTGTCTGCACAGCGAGGGGATGGATAATCAAAGACCTGCGTTCAGGTTGGCTTCATCACTTACTAGCTGGATGACCCCAAACAAGTCACAGTACTCACCGACTGGAGACCCAGTGTCCTCAGCTGTAAATTGAGAAGAATACCCCTTACCTTACAGAGTTGTTGAGAGAGGTCCAAGGCCTGGATTATATGGAATGTTTAGCAGAATTCATATGTACACGTTTTTGTTTGTTCATTCATTCATTCATTCATTCAACAAGCATCATTGTAGACCTACTATGTCCCTGGGAAGTAGTAGGCCCTCTATCAGCACACCTAAAAAAATAAAGAGGGGATAGAAAATGCTTTCAAATCATCTGCCTTTGAAGTCTGGACTAATCCATGAGGATCGGGGAGGTTGGTAAATGGAACCATCAAAAAGATTAATGAGGTGCTTATTATTCATGGTTTCAGGGAGAGGTAGACACAGAGAGCTGAGCTATGCAGTGAACACAGCTCCTGACAAGATGGGGTGGAGAGGAAGGATGAGCAGATGTCATCTGGAGGTGCACTGTGGCTGTCCTTCAACAGAGAAGAAAGACAGAGGCCCAAGATTTCACAGCCTGGGTGTGGGATGTTTGTACTGCTTTCCCTAGGATGGGGGTTGGAGCTTCTGCTCCTTCAGCCAGAATTCTAGACACAGGTTTCTCTGAAAGTGTTCTAGCCCACTTCTTCTTCCATTTGGATTTTTAGGGGTCCATCCATATTGCAATCAGGATTTGTGACCTACTTTTAAAATTCAAAACATCCTATAAGAAACCACATACCCTTACAATGAGGTCTTGTTTGCTAGAATAATGTCAACCAGTCACGTTGATCAGAGGCTCTGGTGAGCACTTTGATGTATAAAAAGGAGAAGTGAAATAAAAGCTGCTGCTTAGAGAAGTGCCCTGTGTTTGGAAGTCAGAATTCTTGCCAACACAGGGCAAGGAGCAGTTAAGGATAGAGTAAAAAAGTTGACACTGAATTGAAAACCTCAGTAACCACGACTTTGATCCAACATTCTCATTTTCCATTTGAGGACCCACAGGTCAGAGAAGCAAACGACCTTGCGTTAGGTCACAGAGCTGGTCAGAGGCAGAGCCAGAGAGTTTGTCAGGGCCCTGGGCTGTTCACTGTCCCTCAGGACGCAGGCAGTGAAGTGTGCTAGATTGGCACGGGGGTGTTTGGAAAAATGAGTCACTTTCCACAGTCACTGCCTGGGTGTCAGAGAGAAAGGACACGGCCCAGCCTCTTCCTGGGGCTCCTCCTCATCTGAGCCGTGTCACCCGACCTGGGTTACTGCGGCTTAGGATTGTCTGGTGGAATTTCCCCATGCAAGGAGAAGATGGACAAGCAGGAACACCCTGAGAGGTTCCCAGGGGAGACAAACGTCTTCGCTTTATCTTCAAAGCAAATATGCAGGAAGGGAGACTGCAATACTTCCCAGAATTCAGGCTGAAGCAAAACACAGATGACATATCAGATTGGCATCTCAGCCAGGAGACCCGGAGACAGCAGCCAGGGGTCACTGAGGAAACTGCTTGTCAGTAAATAAGGAGTGGACACCTAAGAAATGGCTCCCTTCTGAAAAGGGCGTGTGTGGGGAAGTCTAGGTTTTGCCAAACCAAGGGAATTTGGTGCAGGGATTCAGAGCTGTGAGCTGTTGAAGAAAGGTGTTTAGTTAAAATGTGTCCCCCCAGGGTACACGAACTCTGGGAAAATTGGGCCACACATAGCTTTTGATTAGAAATACCTGCACCGGAAATGGTCCCACAGCCCTGTCTTTGGGAGATCCACCGTCTTCCATGACTGCAGCCTCCTAATAGATCATCTGGACCCACTCTTATCCCCACTACATGGCAGCCACTTAAGTCTTTAAGAAAAGCAAATCTAATTATGCCGCCTCTCCCTGCTTTACATCATTCCTAGAACCAAGACCCACTGGACCCTGCATGACCCAGCACCTCGTACCCTGGGCCGCTAAGTCTTGCTGCTCAGCCATGCTGTTTCTCTTTTATTCTCTCACATGCATCAGGATCCCTCCTACCACTGGGCTTTCCTTTGTGTGTGCCACTCCCCGCACAGAAACTTCTCTTTCTTTTCCCTCAGCTGGTTAACATGCACTTGTCCTTCCTGTGTTGAGCTACTTGCCACTGTCCTGGGAAGAACTCCCTCCACACCTAGGTCTCCGTCAAACTCTCCATTTACACGCATTTAGAGCTCTGTGTACACCTCCTTCACAGCCCCAAGGATGGCTGTGCTACCTGTAGTGGCCCTCAGCATGTGTGACAGAATGCAGGGATGATCGCCTGCTCTGCCAATTGCAGGTGCCCATTAGAGCAGCTACAAACGCCAAGAGGCAGAGCTGGTTCCAGTCCTTGGTCCCCCTCTGACTTGCTCTGTGTCTCCTCCCCAGGCAAGGTCTGGTCTTCTCCAGGCCTGGGTGTCTTCCACCAAGGTGGGTTTCAGCCAGGGGGCTGTGCTGGGTGAGGCCAGAGGTTGGGTCCTAGCCCCATCACCTTGCAGCTGTGTGACGTGGGGCTGGTCAGTTACTCCTGAGAAGTAACATCATGCTTAACGTCTGTCCGAGTTCTCAAAGATTAAAATCCAGCTGAGACAGTGGCAGAGAGAATGGGCAGAGACAGTAAACACTATGGTCAATGTCCACATTAAAACATTTACTACAGTAAAAGACATCCCCCTCAAAATCCTCCCCCTTACCTCAAACACGTTTATCCCATCATTTTTGCCGCTTTCTGAGGCAGTTCTGGAGGTTCTCTTTTGTGAGTGTCTAAGCGATGGGGAGGACTTTAGGGGCAGGGATTCATGGCAATGTGTCTCTTACTGTAGTAAATTTTTTCAGTTTCAACATTCACCATGTGTTTTGATCCCATCCTGTGGGTAAAGGAGAAAGCTCTGACTAAGTGATGTAATGAACAGCGGCTCTGGAGGTGAGGCCCCAGCACCAGCAGCATGACCTTTACTTGGACCTTGTCAGAAGTGGAGGTCTCTAGACCCCCTCCTAGAGTGCTGAGTCCTGGGAAACTTTTAAGAAGCCCTCCCAGAAATTCTGCTCTGGAGTGCTGAGAGGCGGGGGTGAGGGCGGGAAATGCCGAGGCAGAGGAGGCGCTGCCAGGTACCGGTCACTGTCTGGGACTGGGACTGTGGGAGAACGGGGCCTGCCTGTAAGTCAGGGCCTGTGTAGGGCACAGGGTGGAGACACTTCATGGAGGCCATCAGTAGAGAGAAAACCCACCACGAGGAAGGACGTCCAGGAAATTATACTTGGGAAGAAGCTCACATCCTGACTCCACAAGGTGTCCCAGAACAGCCTGAAACAGGACGGGGCCCCAGGAAACGGGACCATCGCCTGCACCTGTGTCCTACAACATCTGGCGATCCCAGAGCAGCCAGAGTCCAACAGCACTGGAGAGAGACCTCACAGTTTCCTTTCCCCGGAAACATCAGGCCCTGGGAGGGCGGTCCTTTGTGCCTGAGCGATCCTGCTCCTAATAAGGACTCCACACAGGCACTGCACGTCCCAGCAGCACTGATTCTTCTTGCCAAGGAAGCCAAGCCTCTCATAGGTAGGAGCCTGAGCGGGTGTGCGAACACAGCCCCACCCACATCCCCGCCAAGTTTTGCACAATAAACTCCACATCTGGTTTCTTGTTTCTTGTCCTTACCAGTGGGATCTTGATAGGATAGGGAGTAATTATCGCAAACCCACAGAACTTGCCTCCATTTAACTCTTCCCTCCCCCGTTACGGATGTGTTCTCTGCGTGCCCTGGCCCGGTTCTTCCTCTCTTTGCTCACTTTCCTTGGTATGTTTTGCATGTGCGTTGACAGCTCTGCTTTTTAATACTCTCTGGTACATGTTAAGATGTTTGCATCATCACCATCACCATCACCATCACCATCATCACAATTATTTCAAAGATGCAGTTCAACGAGACAAGTCTCTGAAAGCGAGGCTAGAGAGCTGCATTCATTTACTTGTGCATTTCACAGGCAATCACAAGGGGTGATTGAAACCTACAGTGAATCCTGAAATTAAAAGCTGGTCACAGTAAAGGAAACACTGCCAAGAGCAACGGGATAAGTGTGTTTGAAGCGAGGAGAAGCATTTTGAGGGAGATGAAGAGCAATGGGTCTTTTACTGTCATAACTTTTAAAAATTTCAGCCTTCACTGCATGTTTGCACGTAACACCCCATGTTGGTCAAAATTTACAGTAATTTCTGTCAAATAAAAATGCAACGCTGTGTCCTCATTCACCTTCTTCATGGCATCTGGCATCAGGGAACTTCTGGTTGTTCCCTAATGACCAAAAAAGTCAATGTTTTGCGTGGATTCAGGCAGCGAGGCCAGTGCGATATCATAACAACTCTCAGGAAAGAGGGCTTCAGAGCTGCTTCAGAAAGTAGCAAGGATGATTGGAGCAGTGTGTTTGATGTGGGGGGAGGATTTTGAGGGGGTACTAATAATGCCAATGTGTCTTTTACTGTAATAATTTTAACAATTAACAATTAATTACTGTAATAATTTTAACAATTTAAGGCGTTCGCCTTAGTTTTCCGGTCACAACCTTGCGTCAAGCACTTATTATGTGCCATGCACAGCTGCAGGCTCTGGGATACAGCAGTCAATAAATAAAGCTCCAGCCCTTCTGGAGTTTATATTCCACTGGGGAAGACAGGCTAGAAATTAGGTACTGGACGAGCATATAGGACACCATAGGCTGTAAGATGTGCTTTGCTAAAACATGAAGAAAGAGAAGACGGAGGTGGGGGCTGGGGGAGCAAAGGTGACATTTCCTGCTGGGTGTTGAGGGAAGCCTGGGTGTTGTACGCTTGGAAGGAGCTAGGGAGAGGGCATGCACGCAGGGGGGGAAGAGCCCTCCTCGGGCAGAGGGAAGGGCAGGGCAAAGCCTGGAGGTAGGGCCTGGCCCAGAGCACACAGTGTAGCTGCAGCAGTGTAGGAAACAGGGATAGAGAGTGGAGCGGGTGTAGGGATACAGAAAAGCCAGGTAGAGCAGGCCTATGGGGACCACTGTCCTAAACTGTGCTCTGGCTCTGAGCAGGGTGGCAAGCATGAATTCTGCACCTAGAGCCTGGGACTGGCATGGGACAGACCCACGGTTTGTGGCTGGTGCCAGCAATGAGCGGAGTTGTCTCCGCTGAGGAGAGGGAGACTGTGGATAGGTGGGCAGCTGGGAGAGGCCCGGGAGCTCGGTCTGCAGAGGTGCACTCTGGGAAGGCTATTGCACAAGCCACAGCTGGAGTCTGCAGACGCGGGCTAATTAGTTTCCAGTATAACCCGAAGTCGCCACAGAAATCCAGTCCCTGATGGTTCTGTGCAGGGAGGCAGGAACCTAGGCCGAGGCAGGGGTCACAGGGGGCTGGTGACGAGGCCCTGAGAGAACTGGGGTGAAGGGAGAGCAGCGGAGCTCAGGCGCACTGAGGAGCACAGTCTAGCGGGCGAGGTGGCGGGATGAGACGTCAAGGCTGAGGGATGAGGTCCCCGCAAACTGCTCGGCTCACTGTAGCCGGTGCTGTGAATTACAGTC